CCATGACCCAATTTCTTCAAAGGAAGAAAAATAGCTAGAAGGGACCAGAGATATTAGAAGACACATCAGCCAAGTGCAATGGATAGACTTCCTCAGATTCAGATTCAAACAAACAAGCTTAAAAAAAAAACAACATTTGTGAGATAATTGGAAGCTTAAACACTAATTGGGGTTTCTTGATATTGAGCAATAATTACCTAGGGAGGAGTGGTGGATAGACTAAAAAAACACAGTTCTTAACTTTTGAAGTTCCCTGCAAGAGCATTTTCAGTTATAAAAATGCCTTTGATAGCCAAACTCAGTAGTGTACAATTGACATCCCAGCTATCCAGGAGACTGAAGCAGAAGGATTGCAAGTTCTAAGCCAATCTGGGAAATTTAGCAAGACTGAAATAAAAAAAATGAAAAAGGACTGGGGATATAGCTAAGGGGTAGAGTGCCCCCAGATTCAATCCTTAGTTACCCCCCCCTCCCAAAAAATGCCTGTGATTTGCTTTAAAGCATTAAGATAGCAAGGCTGAGGGCTGTGAATACAAGATTAGCTGTGAGTTGATAACCACTGAAGTACAGGAGATCATTAATCTACTTTTGATTATGTGCTTAAATTTTTTTAAAATAAAAGTTTTCAAAGTATGATGAACAACGATATGCTAAATATTGTGAAAATTTGGATATTGTGGTAAGTTTGTGATGCAATATGAAATGTCAAAATATGGAATACATAGCCCCAAACCCAATTTACAATCATTAAACTTAATGATTTTTTTTTACTCTATAATTTATGCTCTTTCTAAGTCACCAGTTAATGGAATTTTTTTATTAGCAGCCTAAATGGTCTAAAACACTAAGAATGAAAATGAAATTCCAGGAATTGTTACCAAAAACCTATAACAAACTTTTTTGGGGGGGTACCAGGGATTGAACTCAGGGGCACTCGACCACTGAGCCACATCACCAGCCCTATCTTGTACTTTTTATTTAGAGACAGGGTTTCAATGAGTTGCTTAGCACCTCGCCTTTACTAATGCTGGTTTTGAACTCAAGATTCTCATGTCTTAGCCTCCCAAGCTGTTGTGATACAAGCATGCGCCCCCACACCTGGCTAACAAAAAAAAAATTATAAGGAAAATTTCAGTATATTTCCTTGCTTCTCAGGTATAGTTGACACATTTAAAAAATAATAATATAAGATGCCTGGTTAAGTTAGAATTTCAGATTAAAAATTATTTAGTATAAGCATATCCCATGCAATATTTAGGATAAAATACTGGGTATCCTATATTTTATCTGTCAATCCTACTTTGAGGGAACATTCAGTATCTGAAGACATTCTCATCTAAACTGGGGTTGGGGTATTAATGACATCTGCTACAGAGCCTACAATGCCAAAGATGGTACCTCTCACACACACAACAAAGTAATGATTCTAAGGTTAGAATCCTATGTTATACACTTATAATAACCGACCAAAAATATAAGAACCACACACAGCAACTATGAATGATATGGGCATTAACTTAATTCATAAAATCTTTATAAACTTTAAAACTCTAACAAATAACAGAAAAGATTTTATAAATACATAGAGATTTTTAATGCTTTTGTGAATATGTTAAAGGTTAATTTTAACTCCATGATCAATAAATACAAAATTCAAAAATTTAGGTAGATTATTTTCAGAGATTACTTATTATTCTAAATTTTACAAGAAGTAATAAAGGGCCAAGACTATCATAGTCAACTTTGAAAAAGAAAAGGGAATACTAACTCTGCTAGATACTAGGCACACTAACAAACCTTGGAAATAGAAACAGAATGTTACTGTCCCAAGAACAAACAAACAGGATTAATTAGAGAGACGGAACACTCAGAAATGGAACCTTGCAAGCCTAATATATTTTAGAAAAGTTGTCCCAAGCCAGTAAGAAAAGATATAAATCACTAGTAACATGGGAATATAAAAACTAAATCCTATTTAATATTATATAGAAAACAAACTTCTTCAAGGGATTCATTTATCCTTTAAGGCAAAAAATTACCAATAAATAAAATTAACAGAAGACCATTTTAGTCAGAAAATTCAGAAGAACCAACTATACAAACAGTAAGCAGGTGTGGTGGCACACACCTGTAATCCCAGCAACTTAGGAGGCCAATTTAGGAGTGTCAAAAGTTCAAGGCAAGCCTCAGCAACTTAGCAAGGTCCTAAGCAACTTAGTGAGACTCTGTCTCAAACTAAAAAAATGAAAAGAGCTGAGAACGTGGATCAGTGGTTAAGAGCCCTTGGGTTCAATTGCCAGTACCAAAAGAAACCCCGAAAAACTGTATAAACTGTAAACAAAAATGATAGGTGGATTTGATTACTCCAAATTAAAGGCTTTCTAGTGCACAAAAGACACCATAGACACAATGAACAGGTTAGAAGATACCTGCAATACCTAAAGCTCCCAAAGGATTGATACCTACATTAAATAAGGAGTTCTAGTGCATCAGAAAGGAAAAAGAACGCTGGTTGAATACAAATATTAAAAGGGAGTCAACTAAGGGAAATCCAAAATCAAACACATATAAATAAATGCTGAAATCCACAGTAACCAGAGAAATGTTGATTCAAGCAACAATAAGATTCAACTTTACACTAATAAGATTAATGATGTATAGATGTCTAGACAATGCCAAGTGTTAGTGGAGATTTGTGCAGGTGACTGACAGCAGGGACAGCCTTTCAGGATGGTAAGCTGGTAGTGTGGGGGTCAAATGTGGCAATTGCACATCCTATGATCCAGCTGTCCTGCTCTTGGTAGATGCCCAGAGAGATGATTACAAGGATAATTATGTGGTCATGTGCAAAAAAATTAATTGTAGTGACACTCATTGCCATGTTTGTGTATCCAGATTTGAGTCAATGCACATGACCACTCTTAAGAAGATGGATGGGAACACGGAGTGAGTATATGCACATAATGGGATATTTGTGGCAATAAGAAATAATGCATTAGCTGATCACATGACACCCCTGGGCCTTTGAAAACACGGTGCTTTGTGAGGTTGGAGACAGAAAGAGACTTTTAACCAATAGAATTAGTATTTTTCTAAAAAAAATGCACACAGAGGCTGGGGATGTAATTCAGTGATAGAGCATTTGCATAGCATTTGCAAGGCCCTGGGTGCCATCCCCCCAGCATCACAAACAAACACACAAAATTAAAAAGCATCAAAGCAATATATGCTTCATCAAAACACATACAAAATAAGTTTCAAATGGAGCACAATGGTTGGCATTTGGAAGTGGAGAATATTAATTTAAAAAGAGAGTGAGGATGAAAGGAAACAAGAAAATTAAAAAGCAAGAAAAGTTTGTGCAATGATGAGAAATTACCCTGAAAGGATAAAGCAGTGGCCTTCTGCTCCTGGAGGCCCAAGCTGTAAGAAAACAAAGCAACCAAGAAAGAAAAAGTTGGATGGTCTTGGCTGAATCTAGAAACAATATTTCTAAGATGTGAGTAGGTGGTGTACGGACCTTATACTTGTTGGAAGGGAATAATTTCCCCATGGTGAGGGATGGAGCATGAGCATGGAGAATCCAGGGCTCTGAGATCCTCTCATGCAGGAATTGATCTTAAGAAATTTAGAAAATTATATGCTAAACATCCTGTCTAGTATTAGGATTTGGGGAGAATTAAGGGTCTATGCCACTCCAAACCCACACCCCACAAGGGAAATGACAGAGAAGGTATTCTGAGGCTTTAAGGGAACCCACAGAGACCCAAGGGCAGGTACCAACATTGCACTGAGTAGCCAGGCTAGGAATGGCAGATAAGGCCAAGCCTCCCAGATGCCCAGAGGGGTGGGAAACCTTTGGGGAGCTGCTGAGGAGGGGGCTGCCTGCCTTTACCACAACAAATCATTGAGGCAGAGGGGAGACTCAGGGAAGTCCACTACACCTGCTGTCATATAGTATTGTATTTAACAACAATAGGATCATAATATAGTCATATTTCTGAGCATCATGGAGGATTGATTTCAGGACTCACCAAAGATACTAAAATTCATGAATGCTTAAATCCATTATATAAAATGGTATAGTATTTGCATATAACCTCCACATATCTTCCCATACAGGAGAACGTAAATGTCTAGGAAAGTTGAAATACTTAATATAATATAAATAGTTGTTATATGTATTGTTCCAGGAATGATAAGAGCTTACATGTGCAAACATCAAGGCCTAAGTACATTTTTAATTCTCAATCCATTGGATCCCAGGATGCAGCTCCCTCAGAGGGCAACTGTTCAGGTTCTAACACACTGGGGGCATGAAGCAGCATCCTCTGAACATTGTCCTTGTTATTAAATATTCTTCTATAATGCCTATAATATTCTTTGATAACTCCATATAATGGTCTAATCAAAGATCATAATGTAGGGCACATGCCAGTTACTTTGCTAATTGCTGGGGTCCAAGTCATCCCACCACCCTGCTCTTTATCCCATTTCCCAAGCTCCCTTTACCAACTAGGTTCAGCCATCAGGAAACACTGCAGAACACTAAAAGGTGGGAGGGAGAGAAACCCTGGTAACTCTACATCCCCCACCCAGTTTTGTGGTTCCAGTTACTGCCTCTTCACTCCCTCTGACCCCAGCTTTTGCACTCTGATCTAGGCAGCAGGATAGAAGCACCTTTTCCTTTTTTTTTTTTTTGGTTTCAGGGATTACATCCAGGGGTGCTTAACCACTGAACCACATCTGCAGTCCTTTTTGTATTTTATTTAGAGACAGGGTCTCACTGAGTTATTCAGGGACTTGCTAAATTGTTGAGGCTGGCTTTGAACTTGCAATCTTCCAGAAGAAGCTTTTTTTTTTAAGTTGTCAATGGATCTTTATTTTTCATTTATTTCTATGCAGTGCTGAGAATCAAACCCAATGCCTCACATATGCTAGCTAGGCAAGCTCTCTACCACTGAGCTACAACTACAGCCTCAGAAGCAACTTTTCTTGATGTCATAATTTCTGGGTTGCTTCTCTGTAGTATCTGGCTTCTCCACTTTCCATCACCTGTTTAATCACATCACTAAATTATAATGTTTGGAAAAACTAGAGACAAGTTTTTACTATCTGGACCCTGAAACAGGGTGAGCCAAACAGTTTATTTTTAGCTATTATAAACCATATAATAGTCAAAACCTTAGTTCCCAATGTGTATTTCCTTAGCACAAATTTCTGGAAAATTATGTAAAACATATATATATCACCTATTTCCCCACTGAACAGGTTCTACCAATTTATACTTTGACCATTTTACCAACTTATACTCCCATGGTCTCAACACTTTGTTAAAAACAATAGGAACTAATTTAAATTTTTCCTTTATCATTGGCTCTATTATTCTCTTAGCCTTGATCTTTTTCCTTTCTCAGTTATTGTCAAGCAATTTTCCACAGAGATGTGGAATTCCAGGAGGAGGGAGGGGTGCTAAGGATTATTATTATTATTTTAAGTTGTTTGAGAACCAATGGGAATGGTTGTGACCAGTATGAACAGTCCTGGCTTCTGTAGCTCAGAAAGGCCAAGACTTGGGCACAAAACTTTACAGTGAATGTAAAAAAAAAAATCCCAATCTGACTTGGTCCTCTCTGCCAAGGAAAAACTGAGGGGACTGTGTCTCTGACACAAAAAGATGACTCCTTATAATTTAAAACAGGGAAGAGGGGGAAGCAGAGAAGTCCCTTCCGAATTCGGGGGTTCTATCACTGACAAGCCTCACGGGTGTGACAGGACACGGCAGTGATGAGCGTGGCCCCCTTCCTGCTGCCATCCTCTGACTCCAGGAAGGACACTTCACATTTAGGGGCCAGGTCCTTCACAGTCTCATGCATGACTTTGGCAAAACTGGAAAAAGGGAGAGAAAGACAAAAGAACAAAGCACTTTAATAATGACAGATTTGTGTGCTCAGAGGTGAGAAGTAATGTTGGCAACACACAAGTAATTAAGAGGAGGAGCACGACAGCTACACTGTGGGTCTATTTATTTGTACCAGAAAATTAAGCCTGGGAGATGCTAATAATCTGTCCAAGTTCAATATCACAGTGTACCCATTTAGCTCTTAGCTCAAGGGAGCTAAGATTTCACTCTAGGACAAATGTCTTGGGATTCTGGTGAACTGTGCTCTTAAAATTAATCAGTGAAAGAAGTTCAACAGTCCTATGAGCCACCTATGAGTCTTGCAGAAGTGTGTAACCTCCTCTGCAGGGAGGACCAAATCCTGTGCATGTGGTTTCTATATTTTCCAAGGGTTATTACTTCACATCAGACCTACACTGACTCCAAAATGCCACTGAAGGCAAGAGGGGCAGATGTATAGGGTTTCTGTTAGGACATTACAGAGATCACAGATCATCTTCCTATGGGACTGGAAAAAGAGACAGTCACCATCCAACCCATCCCAATCCAAGAGGGTCAGGATGCCCTCTCATCTGTGAAGCTTAGGATGCCCAGTCCCAGGGTCGGGAGCTAGGTTTCCATCCCTGCTACAGTTTGGATCTAAATGTCCCTCATGTAAGAGGTGGGAGGTTTTTAGGTCACTGGGGCTATGCCCTTGGAGGGAATTGTGGGACTCTGGTCTTCCTTTTTCTTTCTTTTCCACTTTCCAGTCACAAGGTGAGCAGTTTGGCTCCACACACACTCCTGCCATCATGTGCTACTTTTCCACAGGCTCCAAAGCAGCAGGGCCAACCAGTCTTGGACTGAAACTTCTGAAACTGTGAGCCAAAATAACCCTTTCCTCTTTATAAGTTGATTATCACATGTATTTTTTGACAGGAAGAGAAAGCTGAATAAAAGTCCCTTTCCCAACCCTCATCTGGAGCCAAGACTCCTATTTTTACAATGAGACTTATCACTGAGGAGAGGGACGTGGATTTTTGGAGGTCCCTCCCCCTCTTTTCACTAATAGTGCAGACTCAAAGAGCCTCTTAGGTCATTAAAATAAATGTGGTGACAGCTCAACTCATTATATCATAATAGCTAAACTATGGAACCAACCTAGGTGCCCTTCAATTGATGAATGAATAAAAAAATGTGATTGATATTAAGAAAATACATATACATATATGAATATTACTCAGTCTTAAAGATAAATGATGGTATTTGCTTGTAAATGGATGGCGCTGGAGAATAAGCTAAGCAAAATAAGTCAATCCCAAAAAACCAAAGGCTGGTGATTTTTCTGATATGTGCATGCTAATTCACAATAAGGGGGTTGGTTATGGGGACAGAAAGAATAGTAGAATGAATCAGACATTACTACTCTATGCACATATATAACTATAAAACCAGTGGGATTCTACATCATGTGCATCCAGAAGGATGAAAAATTATGCTCCAACTATGTGTGATGTATCAAATTGCATTCTACTGTCCTGTATAAATTAAAATAAAAATTGAAAAAAATCAAGTAGCTGCTATGTAGATAGTGTATAATACTGTCCAAATATATTGAAACTATGTTTATAAATAAAAATGTTGATATAAACATTTTGATTTAGGAAAAAAATACACAAATGTATTTGTGGGAGAGGTGGTCACAGTTTAATCCAGGATTCTCCACCCTCACTTCACCCCGTGGGTACTGTGCAGGCTGGGCACTGCTCTACTCCTTTAGCTTTAAGCTTAAAGGCTTTCAGAAGAGAGTATATGGGCTACTTCCTCACTTCAAAATAAATTATACAAATAGACAAGTGAGAGAAGACAGAAGCAAAATGGTAATAAGAAGGGAGAAAGGAGAAGACAAGGGAAACAAGGAATACAGTTGAAAGAAAGGGGAACTTGATATTTCCATATTGAGGGCACAGCAAAGGGCCAGGCAGCAATCCCTTTCAGTGTCACAGGCCATAGGGTCTGTCTGTGTCTACTCCTCATGGGTAGTATGAAAGCGGCCATCGACAGCACATAAACACATGAGTGCCACTCTCTTCCAATAAAACTTGATTTACATGAGCAATCATGGCTATTGATTGCCAATTCCCTGACCTAGATCATAGGGGGAGAATCTTGCTTGAGTTCCAGCATGTTTGCTAGAACATTCACAGCAGCACTGTTTGTAATATGAGTCAAAATCTAGAAATAATCCACATAGTACACACTTGGGAGGCTGAGGCAGGAGTATTGCTCAAGACCCAGCAGTTTGAGACCCTGGACAACATAGCAAGACCCCATCTCCAAAATAAATAAACAAACCATAAATGCTGTGTGAGAAAAGCCAGTCACAGAAGAAGCCATGTGATTCTATTCATGGCAAGTTCAAAAATCATGCTCAATTTCTAGTATATGTTTACTAAACAATATAGATGTGTAACATAGAGACTCGGGGAAAAAAAAGCAAGAGACTGAGTTGGGGCAGCCCTTATTTCTAGCAGAGTAGGGAGAGGGTGCAATTGCAGGGCGGGGTGGGGGGCAACACATGTCCAATACTGAACACAGGCTTGATTCTGGTTCTGATTACTGATCTCCAAATTACAAACATTAAAAACAACTATTTAATAATAATTTTCTATAAAGTTAAAAGGGGAATGGGGACAAAGACAAAGCGATAAAGGTCTGGGGTCAGGAACTCACTGAGGATGTAGAGGGTCCCATCCACACCCACTGAGACTTTGAGGGTGTCCAGCCCACGGTTTTCCTGTATCTTGTCCACAAAGACAGCCATGCCTGCACCACAGAGCTGGGCTGCCCGCCATGCCACCACAGTGCACACCTCCTTGACGATGATGCTGTCGTCACAGGTGCTCTCGAGGCCCAAGTGGTGCAGGATGGCACGGACTTGCAGCAGGGCCAGGCAGTCTCTGGGGTGGAAGGGAGACGGTGAGTGGTCAGTCAAGAGCAGAGAGGGCTGGAGACCCCTCTCTGGTTGGCTCTTTTATCCTGAGAGTGACAGGAAATTTTAAAAGAAGGTCCTCATTCTACTTTGTGCAGGGAAGGTAGAACACTGTCACTACAAAACATATCCAAAACCAAAAGAACTTCATTGTCTACTCATTTGGAAATAATAAAGACAGTGGCCATGCTGGCATGTGGCATTTCTAGCTGTAGAACACGTTTATGTCCCTTCTCTCATTGCTGTCCCTGGGTCTTCAGGAAAAGCATTAACTCACTAGCATTACACTCCTGCTTGATTTCCATTCCCCACACTGGGTAGTCTGCATTCTGCTTGTGTCCTTTTTATGAAATAGATGCACATAAAATTGTAGTAAGAAAATAAACCCTATTTTATAAAGAAAACTATTTTAGAGACCTAGAATCATCTCCTCAACCATCAACTGAGCAGACTCTATTCACTGGTGCAGATGCCCTTGGGGCCCACTCAGGTCAGTTACCCAGTTCCTGGTCTATGCTTTGAGAGTAACCATAGCATTAATTATTTAAGGGCTCTGAAATTCACCATTCTAATTTGGAATAGAGTTTTCTGCCATTAGACCAGAGGACAGAGGCTTCAGTCTAACAAGACACAGCATAGCATGATTCTGCCCTGCCTGATGTTTACTTAGTCCTTGATAGAGTGAAGCCTGTCCTCTTTAATCAATCCTCATTGCCTGATTGTTGCAGCCAGCAGTGAAGGAGAATCCCCAAGCCAAGCATGGATGCTTCATCACATTATTTTCCTCTGCACATTTTAATTTACATCCTATAATGGGGTATCTTTCTTGTTCTATTTGACCTAAATATACAACAATATCCCTGTTCATGTCCCCATGCCATGCTCAGCACCATCTTTCATGTGTGAGCCACTAGACTGACTTGTGTGAGCCCTGCTCTGATCTCACTTGAGCTGTGAAATCCTTCAGCTTGTCTGTCCATGAGAAATACATAGGACATGACCGCATCCTCCTCCAAACCCTAAATCAACTCTCACCTCTCAATCTGAGACAAGAACTTTGTTTCAAAGATTCCCCTTGTCTTGAGCTGCTCTGAGATGCGGCCGCGGAAGAGCAGCCCACGCTTGGTGAAATCGATAAGGATGTTACGGACAATCTCGCCCAAGTACATGCCACTGATCAACTTCTCAAACCTGCAATTCACAGAGGTTAAATAGGAAGGTAGTAGGATGTGTTGAGACAGAACGGAAAGTGGAGGACAGCATGGCAGGAAAGGAATGCCACTTAATTCACTTGAGCAGGATTCCTAGTGTCCTCTCACACTGATCCTCCACCTTCAGCAAAACTGAGCATGTGCTGTCTGCTCACACCCTCCCCTCACCCGACCACCATCACCACCACCACTCATGGAGCTTTGTGATGCTGGCCCTTGAGCAGTTCTGGCAAGAGAGGGTGCTTGACGCTGGATGGCTGGGGGAGGAAGAAAGGATTTGCTCCTGTGTGGGTGCCCCAGCAATGCTGTTTTACCCTGGCAGCAGCAGTGGTCCACTCATCATTTTTCCCTCACAGACTCAGCCCTAGGTTTTGATCCCACCCCCACCTCCACTTTCCCGAGCCTCGAGGTGGAAGCAGCTTCCTCATGTTTACTAACTCAGAACTTTCTAAGAAACCCATTGTCATCTCAAGATAATAAGCTTCCTTGCAAATGCTATGGTGGAGTCTCCGATAACTTATTGCTGTCCAGTTCTGGAATACAAGGCCCTCACCTAGTTGGGTGCCTACCTCTGTTTGCCCAGGTTGAGCGAAAGATCATCCACAGCCTTGTCAAATTCCGTGCGGAAGTCGTCCAGGCATCCATTGCCCTAAAGCCCCCCCCCACTCTATGTTGACGCACATCTGCCCCTCTTCTCCATCCACCAGCTCCACATTTCACATCTCCTCCATGTAGCAGGCGTTGCTACCCATGCCTGCCAATCACAGGGACACCAGGTCTCACTCAGCTCCAGCCTCCCACCCATCCAAGGCTGTACCCCCCGCCCCTGTGGGGAGGATGGTTGATAATGTTACCAACAATGAGGCCAACCTCACAGTGAGGGTCTTCATAGCCACAGGTCATCATAGTTCCAACTGTGTCATTAACCATAGCCACCACATCCAGGTCAAACTCCTAAGAAGGCAGAAGCAGATGCCTAGTCCACAAGTGAACCCCAACATTCTCCCTTCAGACATTTGCAAGGACACTTACATGTATATAAAATACATCTCAAATGCTGTGGCTCACTCCCTTATTTCATACTAGGCTCGCTCAAGGCTTGCATGAAGACTTCCTTATTGTGCTGCTATTAAGATTGCCACTTCCCTGCTCACTTTATTTGCTCTCCTTGTCCAACTTCATTTATCTTAGCCCTTAATAACAGTTGCCATTGGATTATGGGTTTATGTTTGAGAACAAACGTTCTTTTTTGTTTTGTTTTGTTTTGTTTTGTTTTGCTGTCATTCCTGAATCCCCACACCCAGAACAGAGCTTTATGCACAGTGGACACTCAACCATTGCTGAGCTGAGTGATTACATCAATTTTCCTGCCAGCCAAAGCAACTGCACTCAATGTTGGCCCTCACAGATCACTTCAAGCATCAAGGAATCAATGCATGGGGTCTCCTTTACCTCTCGCCTGTGGATCACTTCCTTCAGCAGGGTGACCATGTCCTCACCCTCGCATCCAGATGCCTTGAAGCCTTTGGTCCACTTAAGGAGGATACTCTAAAAAGCACAGAGAAGACCTCAGAGAAGGGCTGCTGGGTCATTTCTGGGCTCTCAATCTTTTAAACTAGACAGATTCCCTGGAGTAACTAGCCATCTCACCTACCAGTGATCCTCAATCTAAGGTTGTTCCTAAGGTTGCTGCTTGGATTTACTGAGTACTTTCTGTACACCAATGCTGGTGCATGATATATGCTACACCATTTAATCCCCACAGCCATCTTTGGAGAACATTTATTATGATCACACCCACCTTTTACAGGTAACCCAGGCACCCAGGTGACTTGCCTAGGCCTAGTTTGAAGCTAAAAGCAGGACTCACCTCCAGACCTGCTGACTCCAATTAATGGCTCATAAGCACTGTGCAAATGTCCCAATACATGTTTCCTTTACTGGGCAAAGCAGTTTTGCCCTGTACCTGTCCTTCACTTAAA